GGGAAGAACTAGTTAATGTGAGGGAAGTGGGGGTGGGTGAGAACCAGCTACTGTGAAAGAAGGGGGGTGGGGGTGGGCAGTTACGGTACAGAACGCGCCATAACCATGTCGAGAACTTAACGTGAAGCTGTACACAACACTATGAGCAAGTTACAGAAGTGGGTACAGAAGGAATTGTCTTAGCAGCGTATATGTTGCTAATGGACGCCTGTACGACCAGGAAGTGCTTTTTACAAAACTCTTATATAAATATAAATATAATTTCTGTATAAATTATTATACAGAAAAATATTCACCAATCACAGCTTCAGGGCTGCCAAACGTACGATATATACAAAAAAATGATTATAATTTGCAAAAGATTGAGTGAATCAACTGTAAGTAGTCTTCTGGTATACTAAATATCTACTCGCTACGCTTAGTAGTCTACTGGTATGCTATGTGGTCTAGCTACGCTAAATAATCAACTTGCATGCGTAGCAAATAAACATTTGTGGCGTAAGCTACTGTAAATTATTCAACGACAAAGTGTACACTGAAAACTCGCGTCGTTGACGAATATTACGTCAAAACACCAAATATCACAAGTTCTCCATCACGCAAGGCAACACTTGACAAACACTGGCCGCTGGATCTACACCAAGAAATTTCATCGGTATGCGTAAAGAATACTATATATATATATATACGATGAAGCTCGGGCACTCCTCTGTATATATATATTCTTGCATTGCGAGAGAATGTCTATCGATTCAGAATTCACAGTTTCGTATTGAACTTCAGACAAGAAGGGCGTTTACCGCTTCTAGAAGGACAAGAAGAGTTTACCAGTTCGCTGAAAGGTGAATAATGATATACGACAGTCATCCGTGTTGTTTCATTCTTCTGGGCACAAGGCTCACTATAGCATAACGGCATGATAACATGAATAGAATGCTCTTATCATCAAGCACGGAATGTACTCCGAGGGTTCAGATTTGTATAGCGAATTTGGATGCGCAATCCCCCAAATCAATTTTTTACCGATTTCATTCAGACTTCTAAACAGGCTTAAAATAATTTCAATGCTTAGTGTAGAGTCCTGTATATGTGTGTGGAGTCGTTACCACACGAATGACAGCCAGATCTCTGAATGAAAATATCATAACATCAATTGTATTAAGCCAACAAAAACGGAATCCTACAAGGAATTTAGTTAAATTACACTGAAAACGGGATGAGGTTCCACAATACAATATTATGTAAAAAACACCTTGTGCTCTATGTTGATATCCCTGACATTTATATATCCCAGACATATATATTTTTCTTCGAGTTATTCAGAAGTGTTTTTCATGTATTAAACATATATATAATTATATGGAGTTCTTACACAATGCCTGAAACTTTAAATAAACAATATATTTCATAAGTTTACAAATGTATTTTCCAAACGTCAAATTTATTGTGTCCCCAAAACTGTATCGACTGTGTTGCAGACATTGTCTATACAGACAATATAGGTTTAAAACGATTGCGAAATCAACACCCGTTTGCTAAATTAACAATGGAAAACCCCAAGTAATTTTACCATAAGTAATCCGGTCCTAAAAAGTTGTAACAATTGATTAAATTCCTTTAAATAAATTTTAAATAAATACGAGCTTCAATTTTAAATGAGTAGGGAAGATAATGCTAACATTATAATCCTTAATGTGACATTAAAAAAATTAACGTCCTGAAAAAATTATGTATTAATATAATTAAAAATTAACGACATTTAAAAAGTTTTATCCATTCTAATTGAGAGTTTAGATATGTTTAACAATGGTTTTGGCTCATCACAAAAAAATATTTACATACTGTTAAAACAATCATTCTCAAGCACTTACAGAATCATTGCAGTTAAACTGCACGATTTCAGTTAATATAAAAGACAATTTTAAAATCACAAAATAGATTAGGCTGCTGAAGGCTTATATAGGCCCATACGAGTACACTAATTAAAACCCAGCCGCTGATTTGTCTACATATAGAACCTCTCACATTACATAACATGTATTGTGATTAACGTGCATCATATTGGCTATTATATATATCTTGGTATACACACTAAACACGCAATAACACACGCTATGAGAAACGTGGGCACGCCATGTATGATTTTGCTAGTAAAGCGTTCCTCAACGCTTGGAAAATATTTAAGAAACATAGTAGTTTGATTGTTTCAAACGTATGTAATCCATGTGAACGGGCTTGGGTGGTTATAAAAGGAGTTAGCTCGTATGGGTCAATAGATCTTTTGCCGTTTTATTCTTACTTGGAAAACCATCGGATTTACCGAATAAAATTATCCACACAATATAAAGCTTTTATCCTCCTATGTAGAAGTATTGGGTAGACATTTTCTTATTATAATGAGAAGTATATTTCTTATATAACTATATAGCTATATTATAACTATATTTCCAATCACACCTTCAAATATCCTCGTCACAAAAGCTATGTAAATATCCGGTACCGACTTTGCTATGGCAGGGTTCGATAGAGTCTTTCGAATAATCAATTCAAAAGATCACAAACTACTCCCTACTGGCTCAGGATTTAATGTAGGGCTTAAAGCCTAACAACCTCTACAGGATTAATGACAACAACAATAGCTTACTGACCAACCAGCGAGTATGCTTTAGTCTTTAACATAGTTCAGGACTGAAGTAATTCCGGTTTATATTTAAATAAATCCTAGTGACCTATAGGAGGTAATTATAACTACCAAGTACTGCATGATGACTTCGTGATGGTAATTTACTTCATGCCAGTCTACAGGCTTATAGAGGCTACCAATCATGCTTGGCCAACTAAAAATTAAACTTTAGCTCTAGGCATAGAACACAGCTGAAGTGAACTTGATATAGTAAAGTGGAGTATATTTTGCGAATTAAGCCATTTGACCGTAAAGCGAGACCAATTAAATAACCGAATAAATGCAATGAAGAACGTAGACTTCAACTCCGTTATGGTAACTTAGATCATGATAAACAGATTCCTCATTTTCGTCTTGAAAATGAGTTATACTTTCGTGTTTGATTTAAAGAGAGGTTTCTTTAGATTTAAGTGTTTATATACGGACCAGAAAATTTGAGCTTGGATGAACGCTATTTTATTAAATAAAGCACCAGTTATATAAACATTAATCAATGTTCAATAATAAATGACTAGATGGCCCAAAAAACGATGCAATATATATCTGTTGGAATATACATATAACCTAAATACCGATTCCTCTTTTCCCAAGGCTAATTCAGCAAAATAGTCACGAAAACAACCAACTTCCAAGTTAACTTCCCACGTAGTATTTATTCAGTCATCTTTTGAGGAACAGACGAGTATCAAAGAAAAGACGTACATCAATACATTTTCCAAAATAATGCATTCTATCAGTGCTAAATACCATTACAAACACTCTTGTTTTGTTATTTAATAAAGAGTTTTCTTAATCTAACTTTTCCAAGTGAAATATTTCCTCTGGATTTTGAGGGATTTTTTAAAGTATAAATTATTACCCATTTAAAATTTCCAGACGGAAGGAATTCCATAAAAATTATTTACTTGGGTGCTGTAAGCTATCCCCTTCGAATAGAACTTCGTAACATCAGAACTTTTTTATTCACATATTAGCTTCTAATTTGTATTCATCAATTATCTTACAAGTCTATAAATAAATACATTTATAGTATCTCTGCTACGGGCTCACTATAGCCCGTGCTGTTTGGAACTTTTTGTTCCAAGTAGCGAATCTTTAACAACAACAACAGTATCCTAGTACAAAGGTACCTATTAATAACATAAAAATCCTATACCCGTTAATCTCAGATCTGGCGTTGTTTATCATGTTTTAACGTTCCGGTTGTGACGATTGACGCGTGGGGAATACCTCGCTACCTCACGTACCTTAAACAAAGTAGGTGTTAACATGTGAACTCTTACCTTACTGGTTTGCCCTTTAGGTAAACGTTGTATCCTCCGCTACGGGAGCTCATAGCGAAGCGGTGAACACACACACTCACAGGATTCACTCTACTGATTTTCTAGTCCTGAAAACTAAACCTTAACGTCTTGGCAACTCGTCCTCGACTAAAGTCCATTACAGCGAGTGGCCGACCCCACAGACGCAGTCATAATTTTTACATGCTGTTCATTCAAATCAGGAATTTTCGCAAATATAAATTAATATTTTAATTATTAGCATATTGTGCATATATAGACATAGGTTAGGTCAGGTGTTTAGGTTCTGTTGGCGATTATTTGTATTTGTAGTACGTGGGTGAAGCTTTTACAGCGTTGTGGTTCGAACAAAATTCCACGGGAGACATCTCCCGTCACGCAGGGTGCAGTCGCACCTCCACAGCTCTCCAGTATCAGCTCTTGATACTGGTAATGGCTCAAAAGGGCCACCACTTACAGGCTATTCATGCCCGTGCCACCTCTTGGGTGGCTTAATCTTTATCAATCATCAATCGAACAAAATTCGTCAGTGAAGCACTTGTTCCGGAAGTGTTCGGACGTCATCAGTTGTGAGTCGTGTGTAATCCGTTTTTCATTCATAGACAGGTTGGGGTTTGGCGGGTGGATGGAACGGAATATGGGTCTTTGTTTGGAGGACGGGCTGAAAAGAGCCCCCGAGTTGAACTACTCAGTGAAGCCTCGACTCATCGCTCATCTATTGTTCGTCTACAGCAAGTATACTGTATGTTGTTTGATCTTTTTCACACGCTTTATTTCCTGTTTGCTTCATACTTTTAGCTTTTGAATTGCTATGTCCTTTGATTTGGTTTTTATTGTCTTAGGCTTTTGACTGATGTATGGCTTTTCTCAGATCCCATACTGTTCCTTAAGATTCAAGTTTCTAAGAGGAAAATCTATCTCCGATTATATATATATATATATATATATATATATATATATATATATATATATATATATATATATATATATATATATATATATATATATATATATATATATATATATGTATGTTTGGGGTAATATAACATGAAGGGATATTCACATGTACAAAATAAGTTCGAGACATACATATTTCTCATTAAATCATAACATTCCACTAAGATACCACACACACACCCACACACACACACACACACACACACACACACACACACACACACACACACACACACACACACACCAGGTATAGCGTGGCTGGGTACCAAGGCTCGCCACTTTAGGGTGACAGTGCATCCATCAGTTCACCTCTGACCTTCAAGGGAAAAATATAATTGTCTAAGATTTACTTCCTTTTTTTTTATATAATTTTTATTGTTTTCACTGCTTGTTACCTTCTTATATTATAAAACTGGCTTGATGTTTGGAAGGATGCAAAATCAAACTATTGCTTCATGCTTCATCTAAACTTACAGGTAATGCTACATTAGTTTAAAACACCTATTAGAATACTAAGTTAGATGTAAACAGCCACAGAATAATGTACAGCGGACTGAAGCGGTCTCAGAGCCCCTCGGGTACACAGAACCTGGGGGGAGAGTGGAACGCTTCCTCACACCTTCCCATATGCACAGCTGCTCCCAGAGATACTCTGGGTAGCAGGTCCCAGGAACACTCTGGACAGCTGGTCTCAGGGACACTAGGCAGCAGATCCCATACTCTTCCTATGTGACCTTCATCTGTAACAACGGGGCCACACACACACACACACACACACACACACACACACACACACACACACACACACACACACACACACACACACACACACACACATCCATCAGACTGATAGAACTTACATCCATATTTGGCTTTGAAATTCGAACTTAATCTCCAATTTGACAGTTTTTCATATATTAGTTTTGTTTCCCCTCAAACATCAGGTTATGTAAGAATCTGTGAAGGCATTTACATAAACCGCACATAACGCTGTCTAAGCGTCGCTGGATGCAAGAAGCAAGACGTTGTCATTCCTAGAACAATGTTGCTTTCTACACATTAGGAAGGACGAGGGTGAGGAGAAGCAAGGAAGAGACACCTGTTGGACATCTGACTCCGCTGCTCGTTGACTGTAGGACTGCCAAGGCCGCTTAAGAGAGAGAGAAATATAAGTTTTGTTAGTATCAGGATATAGACGATTAGATACGTTGTAAATTTCAGGAAATAGACGTATTAGATACGTTGTAAATATGAGCAGGAAATAGTATTATGCGGGTAAGTGGAGACATAGGTATGACAAAACCGGATGAGGGTATACCCAGATGGTATAATTAACACGTTTTCTACGCATCGTGGAGCAAGAGAAATATGGAATAGGTTGGATGTGGCGACGCGGCCTGTCCCTCCCCCGGCTGTTGGAGGGACAGTGTGGGATCACACCACCTGTAGGTGATGACAACAACAATGGTGAGGTTGAAACCACGGCTGGTGATGGGACCTCAGAGTCACGTAAGTTCATACACGTAAGATCCTGGCTCTTGATGGCATGTGAGTGCCAGGCAAGAGCACTCGTGCTTGTTGACGTCTGGCTGTGATACTCATTGTTGTGACTGATACACTTGTGACAGTCTTGGTGCAATAAATGGCATTTTAATTAAATTGTAAACTCTTTATACATTGGGAACAAGGTTTGAGCTCAGGTACCCGGCCTGTTGGCCCAAATAGGAGTTGCCACGTTATGGGCCAATAGGCCTTATGTCGTTTGCTTAATTCTTATGTTCTTATGTGTGACCTCAGGCCCCGAGTGTGACACCCTAAGTACCAGGTGTTGAAGCCCTCACCCCTCACCTTTCTTCACCTCAGTCCCTCAAGTGTGACCTCCCCCCTAAGTGCCAAGCGTTGAGGCCCTCACCTTTCTTGGTGGAGAAGGAGAAGTGCTGGGACTCCGCCGACCAGCCATCCTTGTTGCGGACCCTGATCACAGCGAGGTAGTCCGTCGCCACCTCCAGGTTGGTGAGGGTGTAGGTCATGGAGTGCCGGGTGTCGTCGTTCACCAGGTCCTTCGGATCCACGCCGCTGGAGATGATCTCCCAGCTGCCGTCCATCGTCATAGTTCGGTTGGTCTGACGGGGTTGAGAGAGGATGGTTACTCAGTGCTGAGACAACGTGCACAAAGTTGCTGTATGGTTGTAATGGCTTGGCACTTTCCCCCCCCCCTGATAATTCCCTCCCTCGTGCACTTAGTCACCTGCACTTGCATGACACTTACATGATCAAGACAGCACAACAAGCTAAGCCGCGCCCCGTGCTCTAGTCGATCAATACAATTATATGGGCAAGATTATCCTCTTCAGCCTACCACTGGTCACTACTACAATATATAAGACGTTTATGCATTTGAGTCACCGATTATGTGACGACTTATTCTGAATTTTGTAACTAGCTCATCAAGATTGTAACTTGCTTAGCTAAATGAATTGTGGGGTTCAGTCCCTGAGCCCATTATGTGCCTCTTTAACCCTTTCCACTACCGCCCACAAGATGGGTATGGGGTGCATAATAAATGAACTAAACTCAAACATAACACAATTAGTAACAACTTAACCATTGAATACCGCTGGCGCCAGCTATAAAGCTAATCACCATTCCCTAACTACCAGTTACAGCCCCGCTCCTGTGCCAGGTAAGTCTACTACGGGCTCACCATAGCCCGTGCTACTTGGAACTTTTGTTCCCAGTAGCTGAATCTAAAACAACAACAGCTCACGACTCACACGGGAGACATCTCCCGTCACGCAGGGTACAGTCGCACCTCCACAGATCTCCAGTATCAGCTCTTGATACTGGTAATGGCTCAAAAGGGCCACACCACTTACGGGCTATTCATGCCCGTGCCACCTCTTGGGTGGCTTAATCTTCATCAATCAATCAATCAATCCTAATCACCACTCACCTGCCAGCCTCCCATGTTAGCCTTGCGATAATTTATCATCAACTCAATGATAGGATAGTAGCTCTCCGTCTCCCATGTGAGGGTGTACATGGTTCTCTCCCCTCCATTGGGGCTGCTAGTCACGTGGGGAGGCTTAGGTAGGCCTAGGGGAGGAGAGAGAAGCTGTGAGAGATAGTCTAGAGTGACAAGTGGTAATGTAATTAAGGTTAAACTAATTTGACTGTTATTGCTCCTTAAAAAGGATAAGGATAGACTAAAAACACGAATATAAAGACAGATTAGGAGTTGGGTTTATTTAGTTGGTTGTTGTGCCCAATAACTTGGACCCAACGTGGACATGAAAAAGGTCACGATATGTGACGGGTTAGGGGGGGGGGGGAATCCTTGCATACATAAATATATGTGTGTAAATCACGGAAATTAACACGTGACGAAAAATGTGACAATGTCAGACCACAGAGGAAGAATTGTAACAGGAATTTCCTTAAGTACTTTCGTATATTAATACATCTTCAGAAGGAATGATTTTCAGAAGGATTTGATTTTTTGGAATGATTTATATATAAATATATGTGACAATGTCAGACCACGGAGGAAAAATGAAACAGGAAATTTCCTTAAGTACTTTCGTATATTAAATACATTAATATATTAATATACAATATAACAAAGATTAATATTAATATAAATACTTTCGTATATTAAATATTTCAGACCTTCTGAAGATGTATTTAATATACGAAAGTACTTAAGGAAATTTCCTGTTTCATTTTTCCTCCGTGGTCTGACATTGTCACATTCTTAATCACGTGTGTATTTTCGTGATATACACACATATAAATATATGTGTAAGGTGAACTGAGATAGCTTGAGGAAGCTAGGAAGGAAACTAACCGAAACAGACTTGAAAATCTCAAGGGGAAGATGACTATATGGAGGCTTGCGGTGATTGGAGTAACGTGAGCAGTATACTGTGGTTTGCGATGATTAGAGGAACATAATCAGTATATTATGGATTGGGATGATTGGAGGAACGTGAGTAAAGTCTGGTGCTGTGAGGTCAGGAATATAAGGCAGTTTCAGAAGGCTGGTGATAAGTAAGAGGTATGAGGCTTCCTGGAAGTACTGATGTAAGGTAATTATAAGGCAGCTTATCCAGATTTTCACAATTAAGAGGTTTTGGATAAGCTAGTTTATAAATTAGAATAACGACAAATATGTATCGCTTCTTAATCACACATGCCTAAGCCTAGATAATTTCGTGAAAATTTTAAAATTTATATTATGTGAAAAAACGGCTTCTGTATAACTATAATAAGTTATTCATTAAAAATATGTTTAAAATTTTTTTTATATTCGTTTTTTTATAATTAAACAAATATATTATGAAGTTATATAATTAAACAAATATATTATGAAGTTATATAATTACACAAATATATTATGAAGTTATATAATTAAACAAATATATTATGAAGTTATATAATTATAACAAATAATTATATAATGTTATATAATTATAACAAAGAAAATATTATGTTTTATAATTATAACACATATAATGTTTGTGCTTTGGGAGAGAATATGGATTAAAAGTTTCACGAGATTTCAAGTCTCCGAGATATGCGCTGTTTCACAGACCTGTCAAGTGTATTTTGGCATTCTTTTGCCCGTGGGTGTTCTTGGCGACGCAAACATAGTCTCCGAAGTCCTTTTCGGAGACGTTCTCGATGGTGTAGATGTGTCGGTGGGCCGCATGGGCGAGGTTCAGGTGGTCGGCGTGGGTCGGGTTCATGCGGGAGTTGTAGGGGTCGTAGGTGTCGTTGTGGCGGCCCGGACGGTAGAGTTTGGTGTCCATTTGGATGTCCGGTAGAGGGCGTCCGTTCATGGTCCAAGTCACGTCAGGAGAGGGTCGTCCTTGTACCACACACACCAGCTCGGCTTTGTCACCGTCTCCCGTCGTCACTATCGACTGTAAGAACCCAAACAATTAACTGACGTCAAGTTATTCCTTCTGTTCTGGATGGGGAATTCAGAGGAAAAGATTCCACTAATTATGAAGATGACAGCAAGAAAAGTTAAACCACCTGTACTTTTGCAGTCATCAGTGGCACAGTGGTAGAGCACCCGCTCGGCGCTTCGCGAGTGCTTTGGCCTAGGTTTGTATCCTGGCCAGGGAGGATTAACTGGGCGCTAATCCTTAACTGTAGCCACTGTACACCCAGCAGTGAATGGGTTCTGGTTGTTAAACGATTTACCGGGTCAAATTCCAGGGAAAATTTGGGTTAAAAATCTCCCCGAAACGCTATGCGTGCTAATGGCTTTACAAGAATGTATGTACAAGAATATATGTACAAGAATGTATGTAAAAAAACGTTTGAATAATACATTTAAAATTTTCTTTAGTCAGCCATGCTAACATTTTCTATCATAATAAAAGAAAACCAAATACAATTATAAAATCAAGGGGTGACTATTCATTTCAATTTCAAGACTTCCAATTTTCGATATCGGAAATCATATTACTGTGAAATTTTATATATCCAAGATAGAGAAGACAAAATAATTTCATTTAATTTTTTATCTGAATTTTTTACCCACATTTATAAATAAAAATAATAATCAGCGATTAATTTTACAATTTATATTTTGTACTTCTACACAATTAATAATAATAATAATAATAATAATAATAATAATAATAATAATATTAATTCATTGTGTCGGGGGACAGGAAGCCAGAGTGTATTCATACACATTAGGACGGATAAGAACGGATAAGTTTTAAGTGTTTGTAGAGTGTAGATTGGCCAATCTAGCGTACTTTAATAACGTTAAATCTTTCCAACATAGTTTGTCTGTCGTTATATCTCGGGGAAACTCGCCACGATAAAGTAAGCATTTATCTTAATATTTATAATCTAATCTGAATATATGTATAAATAATCTTATCAGTATAAATTATCAATTTCTATCACAGTTATCATCAATTAATCATATTTGCTTGCCTATAAATCTTACTTGAATAATATAACTAGTTTAATTTATATTAACTAGATAAACTTTCAGCAGCCTGAGAACAGCAATATCCCAGGAACATCAACTAAATTTCGGAGACTTGAGGCAAAGTGAAATTCACACCAGTTACTTCATCTATCAACATTCTATTATGCAGGAAGAACCGCACGTCTATGGGTCATCCAATAATGTTAGCAGACTTCTAGATGTTACCACTGCTAGGCTTAGGCTCGGCTACAAGTACCTCTGGGAGTTTGTAACATCTGCTGATGTAGATTTGACTAAATGTAAACTCTGTCAGCAGAACTTTCGCATAGTTTGCGTCAAAGCAAGAATGTGTGGTTCAGATCTTTTTGAAGCTAGAACAAAACCAGTGTTCATTCAGTCATTGTGCTGTAAATTTTATCATTTAATCTATTGTATAAAATACAGTGCTGATGTGTCTAAATACCAATAGGTACATTGTGCTTCTTCAATCAATAACTTTGTTTACCTTTAAGAAAAGTACCTGTATCTACAACCCATTAGTATAGGCAAGAGAATCTTCAGCTGGCCATGTTCTCAGCTAAGGGTTAATTTTTTTTTTAATAGTACATGCCCTTTATGTTGCATTCTTATATTTGCATTCCTCATATCATAATCAATCCCTGGTATTTAACCCACAAGGCGAACAGAGGCTTCAGATGAAAAGAATGTGCCCAATCGTCTCTGTTATCACCCAGCGAGCGAGCTTTGGAGCCTCAGTTGTGAGTCCAAGACGTAGACCACCACGCTACAAGTAGCCTAAGATTTGAAGTAATTAAACACATTCTCAATTTGTAAACAAGAGTTGATTACAAGACCAGACTTACATAGATAATCTCCTGGACCAGCATTTGCGAGTCACTTACGAAACCTCTGCATCTTTCCTCAACTGTATCGGCTTAGTTTTCATTTCTTAAATAGTTTAAGAGCTCCGAAACGGTACGAGGTTGTTTATAACCACAATAACCCCGGGTTATGAAGTTCCCCGAAGCTCGTTTAATAGATTCAGACTACGCTGCCATGCCTAAGGAAAGATGCACTGGTTTTGTAAGTAAATGCTTATAATAATAATAATAATAATAATAATAATAATAATAATAATAATAATAATAATAAATACCTGTAATAAATTGTCATCCTCACTTTCGTGGAAATAAACATTTCATTCGCCAGGGGCAAGATTCACGAAAGCACTTACGCAAGCACTTACGAACGTGAACATCTTTCCTCAACCTTTGACGGCTTTGATTACATTTATTAAACAGTTTACAAGCATTAAAACTTCCCATTCAACTGTTGTTATTGTTATAAACAGCCTCCTGGTGCTTCGGGGCTCATTAACTGTTTAATAATTGGAAACCAAGCCGCCAAAGCTTATGAAAAGATGTACAGGTTCGTAACTGTTTGCGTAAGTGCTTTCGTGAATCTGGCCCCTTGATTCTAGGAGATTCGTGTAACGGGGGCCAGCCTTTAACCTCACTGGTCAAAGGAAATGTATATGTTTATCTCTCAGAATGTTCGGTAATACGTTTATTGCTTATGATCTGTATCTATGTATGCATTAACACGATGTACTGAACGGGGTGAGAATAGCTTGAGCTACCGCATCCCTTTGTGTGTAGTTTACCTCAATAAACTTATTTCAATTTCAATTCAATTTCACTGGTCAAATGCTGGTCGTTATTAAGTAAAACTACAGACCAGAGTTCTGCTGTGTAACCTTCAGATCAACTCCTCAAAGTTCTAGAACGTTCGATCGTTTAGATATCAAGGCTCAAGGATACTGTACCTTTCGATGCTACACTGCAAGCTCTGACTTACGCCGCCACCACCTGCTATCTTCTACCCACTGAGTAATTCCCTCAACTGACGGAGAAGCAGGATATCGTCAATTAGGCATAAACCCCGAAAATGGATCCCCAGTTATCAGAAAAGGAGGGATAAGATTTACGTTAAGTGTGGAATGAAATCAAAGTACAAAGGGATTATCTGAGGTATTAAATAACTGCTTGCAGGCTTGCAGAGGTTACGGGCTATTCATGCCCGTGCCACCTCTTGGGTGGCTTAATCTTTATCTTTATCTTGCAGAGGGTGGTAGTCCCAAATCTGGGGCTTGAGCCCATCAACAGAGAGAGGTCACGACCTTTCCGTAGGGTGCAGTCGCACCTCCACAGATCTCCAGTATTAGCTCTTGATACTGGTAATGGCTCAAAAGGGCCACTACTTACGGGCTATTCATGCCCGTGCCACCTTTTGGGTGGCTTAATCTTCATCAATCATCAACAGAAAGTATAATACCATGGGGGGGGGGACTCCACTAAACACCATAAATTCTAAACATAATTGATTCAACAAAGATGATCAAAGAAAATAAAACTTAATACACCCTATTTGAACAATTCCTACCTGAATATTTTCCTATCTGAGACAATTTGTAATTGACTACAACCAATAATGTGGATTACCTTAAATACCAGAGTTAGGCCAGTTGTTCAGCCATGCCTCTGGAGAGATGTTGACCCCAGAATGTCTCAACCCACACTGACTGATCTGTGAGGTCACTCACACTGACCTCGTGAGAGGCTGACCCTAGCTCAGTTGCCAAATTAATCTTTGAAGAAGATTATTAACTAAAATCCAGTATTAGTCACTGAGGGTAACTTATTATTCCAAAACAATTGGGAATTATCTAGATACTCGAGCCAGGCTAATTGCACTATTCGCAACCCATCCTCCGAATTGACAGTACACTTTAAAACTAAGTGTAATAAGTACATTTCCTAAGTGTTATACGTAGTACATAATTGCACTTACGGGGCTGTTACATTTACCCATCCCCCTCCCCCGATTTAAGTCTTCTCGTTTTCTGTTAGGACACTTGAAATTTTAAGATAAAATTTTAATGTTCAACTGCTATAAATCAGTTTTAAATTTTTCGGATTTTCTTTGTCACTTTTATTAAACAATAGATATTTTATACAAAATTTGAAAATATCCTGAGTTACTTTACAATTTATTGAAATATTTTGATTTTGTTTTATTTGTTTTATAAAACTGTAATATCAATATAACTATAGGTTAAGTAATAGTTATAATTAAGATGCAATAAAATGCTTACTACTAATTTTCATGAATTAACACACAAGCTGGGTGATACATAATTTCAAAGTACGAGATATCCTTTTCTTACTGAAGTCACATGCTTCTTTGATATCATACGAGGCTTATTCTTTATTCTTAATTGACGTTAATTTTAACATAAGTACTTAACCACGATTGATTCTTCCTTATATTGGTTTAAAGCCTAAATTATTCTCTTAGTTTGATGACTCGACACAGGATGCAAGTGGCGCTACCGTTTTCTACACTAGTCTAATCCCTTGGGAGAGGAATGACCCAAGCCTGTCAGTCAGATCACTAACTCCATATTTTTTTTTTATAAAAGGCTTATCCTCCCTTCTAGTGAACATTTCATGTTAGATTTATGGTCATAGTATATTAGCAGTTCTACTATTACATTCGAACTGCGGACCCCCACACGTGTGAAGTGTGGAATCTTTCCTTATTAATACTACTCTATAGCCCAGCCGATACGCACCAAACATACACCGAAACTACTATGTTGCTACAACGTTCGAACATGTTTTAACACCTTCTAACCAGCTATAACAACCAATATAGCAAGTTGTAACAACGTTCTAATACCTCATAAGCACGTTAAACCAAGATGTAACAACTTTATTACAAGTTGTAACAAGCGGAAAATAGAGACAGTTACGGTTTGTGTTTCCAGGGATAGAGCTTAGGCCTCGCATGCATGGGATCCACAGTTCGAGCCTCCTAGAGCCCAAGTGAATGAAATTACACACACTAATCCTAGGAAAGGTATATGTTTATCTCTCAGAATGTTCGGTAATACGTTCATTGCTTGTGATGTGTATCTATGTATGTATTAACACGATGTACTGAACGGGGTGAGAATAGCTTGAGCTACCTCATCCCTTTGTGTGTATTTTACCTCAATAAACTTATTTCAATTCCAATTTCATACTAATCCTGGTCCGGTGATAGAGCCTTACTTTCTCTGTGGTGATCTCCGGCGGGTACTCAACGGTGATGGACATGGCGGCAGAATTGGGGCCGCCAATGCCGTTGTCAGCGGTACAGAGGTAGGTGCCCTCCACGTGCCGGTCGACGCCCTCTATCGTCAGCGTGTTACCCTGCAGAAGGAACACCAGGGCCACTGGCTTAGTCAGGCAGAGAAGGTAGAATAGCCTAAGCTACTCTACCCCTTTGAGATGTATTTTATTGTCTCAATAAACGTACTCAGTACTATTGTCGTACTATTACTATTAACGTACTATTGTTATATTACTATATAACGTACTATAACGTACTATTGTCTCAATAAACGTACTCAAGAACTCAGTCAGGCTGGTTGCAAGTGTATGTTATTTGAGTCAAAACTAAGATAAAAATTTCATCAAACTTAACCTAACCTATTTAACCTATCCTAACACAACCTAACATAACTAAGTCAGTAGTTCACGTTCCTAATATAATAGATTATTATTGTTAGAAAATAACCAATCCGGAGAACAGGAACCATTCCTTCTCAACTGGTTCAATACTAACAACATTAATCTAATAGGAACAGAAATGGATGACATAGCAATGCTAGAGACAAAAGATTTGGACAAGATTTGTATATTTCAGGAAAATATTTGGCTTCTTAGGCAAATCTACCATCAATTAGGTACATTAACCTCAAATGAAGTGATTCTCTCACAAGTCGAGCCTGGCCTCGGGCCGGGCTAGGGGAGTAGAAGAACTCCCAGAACCCCATCAAGCAGATATCAAGCAGGACTGACCTCTTCTGTGGAGAGGCCTGAGGGCAGAGACCCCTCCTGACGGGACCAGCGAATAACAGGCTCCGGATTGCCCTGGGCCTTGCACTCTAAGGTCACGGTGGTGCCCTTGGCTACATGCTGCTCTGGAGGGACGAGGGACTCGATGGACGGGGCAAACTGCACGTCCAAGCTGTGTTTGAGCTCGACGGGCGGCTCCAGCTCGAACATACAGAGGAAGTACCCGGCGTCACGGGGACGGACAGGGGAGATTGTGAGACGGGAGCCGTCTACGGTGATGCGACGGTCCCTGGTGACCTTTTCTGCCCCAACAGACACCAGCTTGTCCTTGCCTCCGTCGGTGGCGATTTTCTTGATGATGAGCTTGTTGGTGCCTGTAACAGAGAAGAAGCAGAAGTGCTAAGCTTGAATGTCAGCGTGTGGAGCCTACAGTGGTTGAAAGTGGGTAAGCCTTGTTAAACAAAAAGATAACTGTCTGTGAAAGCATGGGATAAATATATTGTTTTTCTGAATATTTAAGTATGACAGTAATTTACGTTTTACTATAGAATTTAAAGATAAATTATCTCAACAAGCTTTCCGCAGATGTAAATTGCTCAGCTTAGAGAATGTTGTGGTCCAGATTTTGAACCCATTTTGCTATACAAAATTGTTGTTATACATTAACTGCGTGATTAGCTTATCAAGACTGTAACTTGCTTAGCTAAATGCATTTTTTGGTTCAGTTTCTGAGCCTGATGGCCCTGATTCAGTTCCTGAGGGTTCAGTTCAGTTCCTGATGTGACTATTAATTTTCACCACCCCCCACATGATGGGTATGGGGTCTACTACCACCCCACAGGATGGGTATGGGGTTTACTACCACCCCACAGGATGGGTATGGGGTCTACTACCACCCCACATGATGGGTATGGGGTCTACAACCACCCCACAGGATGGGTATGGGGTCTACTACCACCCCACAGGATGGGTATAGGGTCTACTACCACCCCACAGGATGGGTATGGGGTCTACAACCACCCCACAGGATGGGTATGGGGTCTACAACCACCCCACAGGATGGGTATGGGGTCTACTACCACCCCACAGGATGGGTATGGGGTCATACCCATCCTCCACAGGGAACAGTGAATCATCGGTTTAATGACCCTTGACTTGAACCTTGTTAAGTATTATCTGTTGATGTAATCCTTATGTATTTGTTGTTTGAGGTAAGGATGATATTTTTTCCTCAGTGGCTGAATATGTTGGAGGGGCTAGATATGGATCTAATAGATTCAAGCCGGCAATCTTAGCGGCCCTGGAAAATTACCTAGGAATTATCTACTGCCTGTACACCATTAAGAATTGTATTTGTTTCTAATTAGGTGCATGACGCGTGAGGTATTTGTGTATGAGGCACAGGTGTGTGATGTATGATGGAACAAGATTGTGAGGTATGAGTATACGGCGAGAGAAAAAAATATTGTCCAGTTACCCCTTAAAATTACACGGAAACCAATCCCACAGGGGGTACTTTCCTATCTCAACCCCATAAGGGCCAGCTTAACCATCTTCCTTATCCCCATGAGGGCCAACTTAACCATCCTCCTTATCCCCATGAGGGCCAACTTAACCTTCCTCCTTATCCCCATAAGGGCCAACTTAACCATCCTCCTTATCCCCATGAGGGCCAACTTAACCATCCTCCTTATCCCCATGAGGGCCAACTTAACCTTCCTCCTTATCCCCATAAGGGCCAACTTAACCATCCTCCTTATCCCCATAAGGGCCAACTTAACCATCCTCCTTATCCCCATGAGGGCCAACTTAACCTTCCTCCTTAACCACCCGCCCCTAACACCCGAGAACGAATAACTTACCTGGGTTCTCAGCATCACAAGGCAGGATGACGGACTGGCCGACCTCTACGGTGAAGGACTGAGGTCTCGCAAGGAAGTTCGGCCTCACTTCCTCCACCTCGTCCTCCTTGTAATCCTCGTAGTAGCTACTGCCGTCGTCGTTGTAGCTGAACTTGTTGTTGTAGCCCTTGGACAGTCCTGTTGGAGAGACGGACATTAGCTCCTGGGCACCAGACACTGTTAACGACAGCTGATAACTCAGGAGCACCAGCAACTGCTGCCGTTTTTCGTAAGGACATTCCAGTTGTCCGGATCAGAAACACTGCATTTAGGCTTATTGAGTTTCCTCGCCCCCTTCCCAACATTAGAAATGACTGATCTTCCCCAGGCTACAACCCACGACGACTGCCTATCTCCCTGGTACCTATTTCACTACTAGGTGAACAGCGGCATTAGGTAAAAGGAAACGTGCCCAACCGTTTCTACTCTGCACGGGTCCCTTGGTTATGAGACGGGGACGTAGACTACTGCTCTACAGGACGCATGAGTTTGTATTACTAGCGAATCACACTAATGAGAATAACATTATATATATTCATAACACATATACTCCGAGGGGTATACTCAGAGAGGTATAATCTGCGTCTCGGAGTATATATATACACTGAGAGTTAACTTGAGTCCTGGACTATGTTCAGAGCTAGTGTAAACTAATTGGGGTCATACCCAGATCAACCCTCAAGTGGTTGATCAGTGGACACTTGTGGCGGCCTTAATAACTCCCTGGAGGTTGACAGGACTTAGGTTCAACACCAAAATCAAATATCTTAAGTTACCTTAATCATCAAGATCCTTTGAACAAGGTCAGGGTCAACATGGTCCTTTGAAGATAGCCACCGCTGCGGAGGTCATCTTCCCGTGACCCCAGCGTGTGGCTACAGCTACCGAGGTCTTTCACCACCAACCAACATTATCGTATTGATTCTGTTTCTATATTTTCCCATTTTTGTTAAATGTGAAATGTTCACTTGAAATGGCTGCTCCTGCCCTTTGGCCAGATTCACGAAACAGTTACGCAAGCACTTACGAACCTGTACATCTTTCCTCAATCTTTGGGGGCTTTGTTTACAATTATTAAACAGTTAATGAGCTCCGAAGCACCAGGAGGCTGTTTATAACAATAACAACAGTTGATTGGCAAGTTTTCATGCTTGTAAACTGTTTAATAAATGTAACCAAAGCCGTCAAAGATTGAGGAAAGATGTACACGTTCGTAAGAACTTGCGTAACTGCTTTGTGAATCTGGGCACTTAGCATTTAGATTACATCTAACCCGTGGGTGTAATTACCGAGGTGTAGTTACAGGATGAGAGCTGTACTCGTGGTGTCCCGTCTTCCCAGTACTCTTTGTCGTATTCACATCAATACTGTGAAACTACTGATGGTGTATTTTCCTTTGCTTTCTCACTTGCTCCAATCCTCTAGAACTGTTCACCTAAGGTAGCTTTCTTATGCTATCTCGGACCCTTTGTTTCCTTTGCTAAAAGCTATGGCCTCTCCTGTTCTTGAAGTTGATGGTTTGAAATATTCCTTCTAATCTGCTTTTTGTAAGATTTTGGTTAGTATTTTGTATATTGTGATCATATCTCCTCTTTTTCCTTGTGTGGGTGTGTGTGTCTCTCGAGGATCTGCATCATTGTATTGAACATGTTGCAATAGTGTGCTTGTTGCAGACGTTTTGTCCTTTTTCGTCGTATTGTTCCCAGACAAAAATCTTTGAGGCTCAACTCTCGCTGTTTTCCAGCTTTTGTTTGGTAAAAGCTCTTTGAAGGTAGATTTTTAGAGGCAGAGAGATAATCTTCAAAGGTAGATTTTGAGGTGCAGAGAGACACTCTTTGCATGTTTCTGTTTGTCCTGGATATATGAACTTTATTAAATTAACCTTCAAAGTGAATATAAGTATTAGTTGATTTTATTATTCAGTCTTTTTAGTGTTTATATATCAATTTGGTTTGGTTGGTTAGTCCTCGATAATAGTCTATTATCCTATTATCGAGGACTTCCCAGCCATTGGTGGGACTGTCCATCGAATCACTCAACCATTTACTAATCAGACGTAATGGTGCTGAAGCGAATCACTCATCTGTTGTGTCACGCTCAGTGACACCATATCATTGGGTCATCGCCGCCCAGACCAGAGCCAGCAAAAATAATTCAGCTGGGACAGCCCAGTGGTGGAAAAATAGCTAAAGCCTTGCTCAATACTGCACCGTCACAATGATAGCTAACCTTGAAGCTGTTCGTGCCCCCCCCCATGCAGGGGGACATTCTTTTAACAGTATCAGTGTCTGTCTCTGGCACACGTTTTGATCCAGTGATCCTCCATTGCCATAGCAGCCCAATTCCCGACGAGTAGAAGTGTATTTGCAACACGCCAAAGCCGACATACATGGCGTGCACTGCAGAACCTTGAATAGTTGGCATACAAGTTAACGATATCATCAAGAGGAGCCTTGCTAGAACTCAGTGCCCAGCAGTGAGAGAACCTCGTTTTCAAACGCGCCAAAACCCTGAAGATCCTGTGCTTTTCCCAAATAGTATTACAATATAGCCGATGGAAAAACACACACAGCTGTTTGTGTTTATACAGGAGTCTATACAAGTGTGTATCCTCCCTGACTGACACTTATATACACTTAGGGCTTAGTGTATATTGCATGTGTGGTTAGCCACAGCATGTGCTGTGGCTAACCAGAGGGAAGCAGTAAAATCAAACAAACAAAGGCAACTGTAACATCTGTACACATTTGTTCTCATAGCATCTGAGACACTTGGCCCCTGGGGCAAGGGTGCAAAATGTTTCCCTCGAGGAACTGGGTTCTAAGCTTGTTGACACTACAAGAGACCCAAGAGCTGCCATTTATCGGTTTCAGCGCCTCAGTGTAGCGGTCCAGAGGGGAAACGCCTGGCGTGTCTTCAGTTCTTGGCCGCAGAGACAAGAACTGAAGCTTCAGGAGATCCACAGCTTTTAACCTTTCATTTTATTCACCAACTTGCAACTCTTAAAAATGTCTAATAAGGCAATATAAAATCATATTATTAGTAAAATAAAGATGATAAGAGTGCTGGAGATGAAGAACCACATAGCGGGAGAACTGAGTGTTGTGAAAGAAGTTCCCGTGTCGTAGTGGTAAGACACTCGCCCGGCGCTTTGCGAGTGCTTTGGTCTGGGTTCGTATCCTGGCCAGGGAGGACTGATTAGGTACCAATCCTTAACTGTAGCCTCTGTTCACCCAGCAGTGAATGGGTACCTGGTTGTTAAAAGATTTGGCGGGTCGTATTCCGGGGAAAAAAATAGGATTAAGCACCTGCCAGTAATGCTATGCGTGCTAGTGGGTCAGTCTAGTTACATACAGGTACTCATAGCTACACAAAGCTTCCTAGCATTAAGTATGTGATGAGTAAATATTATATATTTATTCACTATTATAATATATTTATATTAGTATATATTTACTATTATTAGTATAAATATTTTAAAATATATAAAATATTAAAGTACATACATATTTATATTAAAGAGTAAATATATAAATATATTTACTATTTATTAGTATATATTTACTATATTAGTATATATTCACTATTAGTATATATTTACTATCATTATATGTTTACTCAATATAAGTGCTGAATGTAAAACATGAAAAAACATAATTTTACTCCGAAATAATATAAATTTATAACGTTATTGGGTTCATCTAATTACCCAAATCCAAAACAGTGTCGCTTGGATCGTCGACTTCTTGTGGCGTTACTGCCTCTTAGTTTCGTCTAATGTCGTTACAAAATTCGCTATTTCGGAGTAAAAATATGTTTTTTCATGTTCTACATTCAGCACCAACATTATAGTGAGTATATATATCATATTTCTTCATTACTTACGCAATGCTAGGAAGCTTTGAGTAGACCCAATTTCTCACCCTCTGAGGTTTGAACTTTCCCAATATCAAAGACAGACAGACTGTCGCCACCCAATTCCTGTGTGAACTGACTCTATTTGTAGTGAATTTATTAAATAAAACCATTTATGGGTTAACACCTGGATATTTGTGATCTAAAAATCCCTTCTAATGCTTCGTATATATATGTATATTAAAAGTTTCAAGCTGCAAAAAAGATAATCATTTATATGATTATTACTTCATATTTATTATTATTAAACTGGATTAAAGTTAATATCATTATTCATATATTGGACAAGAGTTTACATTTATACACAAGCAAAAACTTTAATTAAAAAAATGTTTCGTATTTTTTTTATAATTGTCAAGTATTATTTATTTACACAAGTTAATCAAACTGATATTTTTAATTACAACTCATATATTGAATAATATTAAGGAAAAAGCCTATTATGTAATTAAGAGCAGATTTAATCAAGTTTAGCTTTTTAAATTTTAACATTGATAAATCATAAAAATCAGGGGGGAAAATATATAATTTAATATAAAAGAAAAATCAGAAAAATAAATGAAATGTGACAAAAATAAATATGACACAAATTTGCATAACGTCCGCATTTTAGTAATGCTGTGTGGTAAATAACTCAGTTAATTACACAATATATAAACATAGAGGTAGTTCCACTGACATAACTGGTTCACCAGCCCCACCCCCCTCACTCAGCACACCATCTTCAGCTACAACACTAAAAATAAAAAAAACATTAGACCTAGGGATAAAGAAAATATTGTTCGCGTAAAAAAAGTCAAACAATTTATTTATTTATTTAGAGAGAGAGAGAGAGAGTGTGTGTGTGTGTGTCCCCGTGGCAAGACACTCGCTTGCGTTCGTATCCTGGCCTTGGAGGATTTACTAGGCGCCAATCCTTAACTGTAGCCTCTTTTACCAAACAGTAAAATGGGTACCTGATTGTTGAACGATTTGGCGGGTCCTATTCCGAGGAAAATCAGGATTAAGAACCTGCCCGAAACGCTATGCGTGCTAGAGGCTGTACAAGAATGTAAGAACTCCTGTATATAAATAAAAAAAATACATAAAATATACAAAGATTCTTGTTGACCACCTCGGTGCATGGTAAAAGGTGTTTTTGTGACTTTGTCTCTCTCTCAACATCCTCTTTCCTTCTGGAAAGGAAAACCATAATACTGTTGTTGTCATTTCCATCCAGACAA